TTCTGCCAGGGTTGGAGCGGTCGGGTCTGATGTGTAGTGTGGTCGTTCTGCCAGGGTTGGAGCGTTGGAGCGGTCGGGGTCTGATGTGTAGTGTGGTCGTTCTGCCAGGGTTGGAGCGGTCGGGTCTGATGTGTAGTGTGGTCGTTCTGTCAGGGTTGGAGCGGTCGGGTCTGGTGTGACGTGTGGTCGTTCTGCCAGGGTTGGAGCGGTCGGGGTCTGATGTGTAGTGTGGTCGTTCTGCCAGGGTTGGAGCGGTCGGGTCTGATGTGTAGTGTGGTCGTTCTGTCAGGGTTGGAGCGGTCGGGGTCTGATGTGTAGTGTGGTCGTTCTGTCAGGGTTGGAGCGGTCGGGGGTCTGATGTGTAGTGTGGTCATTCTGCTGGGTTGGAGCGGGGGTCTGATGTGTAGTGTGGTCATTCTGCCAGGGTTGGAGCGGTCGGGTCTGATGTGTAGTGTGGTCATTCTGCCTGGGTTGGAGCGGTCGGGTCTGATGTGTAGTGTGGTCGTTCTGCCAGGGTTGGAGCGGTCGGGGTCTGATGTGTAGTGTGGTCGTTCTGCCAGGGTTGGAGCGGTCGGGTCTGATGTGTTGTGTGGTCGTTCTGCCAGGGTTGGGGGGGATGGGGGTCTGATGTGTAGTGTGGTCGTTCTGCCAGGGTTGAAGCGGTCGGGTCTGATGTGTAGTGTGGTCGTTCTGCCAGGGTTGGAGCGGTCGGGTCTGGGTCTGATGTGTAGTGTGGTCGTTCTGCCAGGGTTGGAGCGGTCGGGAGCGGTCAGGGGGTCTGATGTGTAGTGTGGTCATTCTGCCAGGGTTGGAGCGGTCGGGGGTCTGAATGTGTGTGTGGTCGTTCTGCCAGGGTCTGATGTGTAGTGTGGTCATTCTGCCGGCGGGGGTCTGATGTGTAGTGTGGTCGTTCTGCCAGGGTTGAGCGGTCGGGTCTGATGTGTAGTGTGGTCGTTCTGCCAGGGTTGGAGCGGCGGTCGGGGGTCTGATGTGTAGTGTGGTCGTTCTGCCAGGGTTGGAGCGGTCGGGTCTGATGTGTAGTGTGGTCGTTCTGCCAGGGTTGGAGCGGTCGGGTCTGATGTGTAGTGTGGTCGTTCTGCAGGGTTGGAGCGGTCGGGTCTGATGTGTAGTGTGGTCGTTCTGCCAGGGTTGGAGCGGTCGGGTCTGATGTGTGTAGTGTGGTCGTTTCCAGGGGGTTCGGGTCTGATGTGTTGTGTGGTCGTTCTGCAGGGTTTGAGCGGTCGGGTCTGATGTGTAGTGTGGTCGTTCTGCCAGGGTTGGAGCGATGTGGTCGGGGTCTGATGTGTAGTGTGGTCGTTCTGCCAGGGTTGGAGCGGTCGGGGTCTGATGTGTAGTGTGTGGTCGTTCTGCCAGGGTTGGAGCGGTCGGGGTCTGATGTGTAGTGTGGTCGTTCTGCCAGGGTTGGAGCGGTCGGGGTCTGATGTACGTGTGGTCGTTTCTGCCAGGGTTGGAGCGGTCGGGGTCTGATGTGTAGTGTGGTCATTTCTGCCAGGGTTGGAGTGTGGTCGGGTCTGATGTGTGTGTGTGGTCGTTCTGCCATTGTGGGTTGGAGGGTTGAAGCGGTCGGGGCTGATGTGGTCGGGTTCTGCCAGGGTTGGAGCGGTCGGGTCTGTGTGTAGTGTGGTCGTTCTGCCAGGGTTGGAGCGGTCGGGGTCTGATGTGTAGTGTGGTCGTTCTGCCAGGGTTGGAGCGGTCGGGGTCTGATGTGTAGTGTGGTCGTTCTGCCAGGGTTGGAGCGGTCGGGTCTGATGTGTAGTGTGGTCGTTCTGCCAGGGTTGAAGCGGTCGGGTCTGATGTGTAGTGTGGTCGTTCTGTCAGGGTTGAAGCGGTCGGGTCTGGTGTGTGGACGTGTGGTCGTTCTGCCAGGGTTGAAGCGGTCGGGGTCTGATGTGTAGTGTGGTCGTTCTGCCAGGGTTGAAGCGGTCGGGGTCTGATGTGTAGTGTGGGTCAGGGTTTGAAGCGGTCGGGGCCAGTGTGGTTGAGGGTTGGAGCGGTCGGGGTCTGATGTGTGGGTGTGGTCATTCTGCCAGGGTTGAGCGGTCGGGTCTGATGTGTTGTGTGGTCGTTCTGCCAGGGTTGGAGTCGGGTCTGATGTGTTAGTGGGTCGGGGTGATGTGGGTCGTTCTGTCCAGGGTTGGAGCGGTCGGGTCTGATGTGTAGTGGTCGTTCTGCCAGGGTTGGAGGGTCGGGGTCTGATGTGTGTGTGGTCGTTCTGCCAGGGTTGGAGCGGTCGGGGTCTGGTGTGTAGTGTGGTCGTTCTGCCAGGGTTGGAGGGTGATGGAGCGGTCGGGGTCTGATGTGTGTAGTGTGGTCGTTCTGCCAGGGTTGGAGCGGTCGGGTCTGATGTGTAGTGTGGTCGTTCTGCCAGGGTTGGAGCGGTCGGGTCTGATGCTACGTGTGGTTAGGGGTGCTAAGGAGTCGAGTGGTCAGGTGCTATAAACGAGCATGCGCACCTGACAGCGAGTCGTTGTACGCAGTGGTGGCCAGGTCGGGGCAGGACAGGACAGGGGAAGGATACTGTCGTACAGACGGTCATCTGCAGGGTGGAGAGGGGCCGGGTTCAGAAGTGTATAATATGTCAAACGTTGATTTTTAGGAGATCCTACACCGCAATTGTCCTGGACTGGAGTATAAAAGCCTCGAGGTTCCTGATCCTTGGAATATCTTCCATGTCTACTGAATCGCCACACATCCTAACTTCTCTACTTTCCTCTTCACTTCCAAACAAACTCCCAAACCTTCACCATGAACAGAGATTGTTGGGTTCCTTATTACCAGTGAGAACCCCTCAGCGGCCAATGACAGCACTCTCATTAGACAGGGGCTCTGGTAATTGGGCGGGGCCTATAACTCGGGGCGGGGCCTTACCCTGGAATGTGGAGGTCATACTAGGGAGATCTGCACCTATCGGAACAATGGAACAAGGTTTTCAGGCCAATGGAGGTGGCAGGAATCACACTGAATTGCCCCCACCCAGACAAGACATTCGGATCGTTTTTTTGAAACCTCACCAAAAATCAGGAAATATGGATGAAAAGCTTTGAAGTCGATGTTAAGGGTGCAATCAAAGGCACAGTTCACATTCCGGACCGTGTTTCCTGTTACCCCCCCATATTTAGGATGGAACATAAAGCACAGATACATGTACCCCCCCCCCCCCCCCCCAACCCACCCCAAAAAAGAAAACATCATTCTGTCCACACATCTCCTTCATTCATTCACGGGGATCGGTGAATGAAGATAATACGTCCCATCTACCACTGCGGCAGAGTGACTCAAACGAAGGTATCCGAAGCAGGGCAGGGACATCGCCGGGATTGTAGTACAACCAGGGCTGCTGTTAGAAACCAAGGGGCCCCGTACTGCCAACCTGACAGCCCCCCCCCCCCACACACACACACACAGTTTACTATGCTTCAGTTAAGAATGAACAAGGCTAGTGATCAGTACTGATCACTCATTGTGTTCATTCATTCAGGAAGGGGCTGGTAAATGTGACCTATTTAATTGGCTGTTCCCCCACTCGCCATCTTGAAGAGTCCTATTGTGTGCTTGCAGCTTCCGGAGGGAAGGAGAGGAGGGAAGCCAGCAGCACTGTGGGGGTGGGGGGCACACAGGGGGGCCTGGGCAGCAATGGAAATGCATGGTGCACAGGGAGGGTGATGGGTGCAGTGAGGGGGGGGGGGGTAATTACTGGAAACCGATCCCCTGTATGGCTCTCTCTGCAGCAGCTGCCGGTGGGAAGAGGAGGGAAGCCGGCAGCACTGTGGGGGTGGAGGGCACAAAGGGGGGGCCTGGGCAGCAATGTAAACGTATGGTGCACGGGGAGGGTGATGGGTGCAGTGAGGGGGGGGGTAATTACTGGAACGGATCCCCTGTATGGCTCTCTCTGCAGCAGCTGCCGGTAGGAAGGAGAGGAGGGAAGCCGGCAGCACTGTGGGGGACACACAGGGGGGCCTGGGCAGCAATGGAAATGCATGGTGCACAGGGAGGGTGATAGGTGCACAGGCAGGGTGATGGGTGCAGTGTGGGGGGGGGGGTAATTACTGGGATCGATCCCCTGTATGGCTCCCTCTGCAGCATCTGTCGGTGGGAAGGAGAGGAGGGAAGCCGGCAGCACTGCGGGGGTGGGGGGCACACAGGGGCTCCTGGGCAGCAATGGAGAAGAAGCCAGCTTTCAATTACTGCAGAGAGAGCTGTACGGAGGATCGGTTCCAGTAATTAGTTCAAATCCCAACCACGGCACCACCTGCCTGGAGTTTGCATGTTCTCCCTGTGCCTGCGTGGGTTTCCTCCGGGTACTCCAGTTTCCTCCCACACTCCAAAGACATGCTGGGAGGTTAGATGGCTCCTGTCTAAATTGGCCCTGGTATGTGTATGTATGAATGTGAGTTAGGGACCTTAGACTGTACGCTCCTCGGGGGCGGGGCCTGATGTGAATGTACAATATATATGTAAAGCGCTGCGAAAATTGACGGCACTATATAAGTACCTGAAATAAATAAATCGGCGTTACAAAAGATACTTTCTGTTTGTTCTTGTGACAAAAAAACAGCCTCTCATTAGACTCATCGTTTGTAAAAAAAACAAAAAACAAATAAAAAAAAAAATACAGTGAAGAAAAGCAAAAAAAAAAAAAAATGTAAGCAATAGTACAAAAATAATGATGAAGCACACAAAACAAGAAAAATATTACAGACACAAAAATACCCCAAATGACCCCCCCCCCCAAAAAAAAAAAAAAAACAACAAACCTCTAAATTAAAAAATAAATAAATATAATTCTATTTGGTAATTTTCGCTGCAAAATCATCTTTTCTGGAAACACGTCCCTCATCCTTAGCTGTTCCAAAAGGCAGAAAGAAGTAATATCTCGGTGGGTCAGACAACTCGTATATATATTATATATTCACAATACATGGGTGGGAACTGCCCACAATATTCCTAATCCAAGGAGACGCATCATAAATAGTTCTCACCTCTAAAGAGCTCATCGATAGCGTGGAGATGGTTTCGCTCTTCGGGACAATACCTGTTGTCCCCAATTCTGCTTTTTCGCATAGCCCCATTGGGATCTGAGACTCGCTGGGGTGCAGCTGTTGCTTCTGCATTGGAGAGCCCTGCTCAGGACATTTCATGCCCATGCGTTCCCTGGGTGGACTCTTCACCATGTAGCTGGGATCGCCCATGTTGAGATGAATGAGCCGGGTTTGGGGCATCTGGTCAATGTTCATGCTGTATTTGCTGTCCTCCTTTGGCTTGGCCCTCAAGGTGGCCGTGTTGCTGGGTAAAATGACGTAGCTGGTGTCCATTGACTGCTCCTGCGCTCTGGTGAGCTCAGAGTCTAACTTTTTAAAGATGTCCCCTTCGCACATGTACATGGGCTTTGGGGGCTGGTTTTTGTCTTTTTTTAAGGTGAGCGTATGGTTATTGTACTCGTTGAGATTAATGCTTCCGAGATAATGCGGAGAGCCTTGAAGATGCATTTTGGAGACGTTGGCTGGAAGACTGTTAAAGTTTGATCCCTTTTGGTGGTTCTTCATCTTCTCTTCATCTTGCAGTGATGGGCGTTTTAAAGTCCCCGTAATGGTAGATGTTCTACATGTTGAGATGTCCTTGCTGAGGGCTGGGGAAGAAAGAGAACAAATTTTGAAGAATTAGTGATTTGTACACAAAAATGTACATTGTGCATATATAGACAAGACACCTTGCGTATGTATAGAAGAAAACATTTAAAATGCAAAGATTGGGTAGACATGAGAGTCCTCTCTCCAGAAATTGCAATTTGGGGAATCTTGTTTGAAGGTGAGCAACATGGCCATGTTCCTCATTCGGGACTCTTTAAATCTGAATATTTATGCTGTATGTTCTGTCCTCCTTTGGCTTGGTCCTTGAGGTGGCCATGCTGCTCGGTACAATGGCGTAGCTAGTGTCCATTCACTGCTCCTGTTCATTCAAAAACTTGCTCAATGCTGAGCAACATGGCCATGTCCCCCAACCAAGACTCTTCAAAGCCTAATGTTCACGCTGGATTTGCTGCCCTCCTTCAGCTTGGCCTTCAAGGTGGTCGGTTTGTTGGATAAAATGAAGTAGCTGGTGCCCACTGACTGTTTCTGCAAGAACTTGCTCGATGCTGAGCAACACGGCCATGTTCCTCAAACAAGATTCTTTAAAGCCTAACTCCAGCCAAAACTACTTTTTTTTTCTAGTTTTCAATACAGTGGGAAGTCGTATTGTCTGTCAAGTTTTTGTTGCTTTCTGTGTCTTCAGCTCCTGTCCCTGTGACACCTGTACCATTGACCACAGAAGGGTGGTAGACGTGCAGGTTTGTTAGGGGATTTAGCTGTCACTTGGATGTCCCATGAACATGTACATTCAGATTAGTATGCTTAGCGTGTACAGTATGACATGGAGAGGCCAAGACAATTCAACAAACCAGCTGACCTTGCAAGACAGACTGTTCATACAACGTTCTTAAACCTTCTGTATATTTCCCATGACTGGCCGGGTACGGGTGTCTGATGGTGACCACAGAAATGGCACTGTCAATGAATGGATGAAAAAATGTTTGGGGGGTGCCAGCCACAGAAATGACAATGGATGAATGGTGTCTCAGGGTGACCACAGAAATCACGATGGATGAATGGTGTCTCAGGGTGACCACAGAAATCACGATGGATGAATGGTGTCTCAGGGTGACCACAGAAATGACGATGGATGAATGGTGTCTCAGGGTGACCACAGAAATGACAATGGATGAATGGTGTCTCAGGGTGACCACAGAAATGACGATGGATGAATGGTGTCTCAGGGTGACCACAGAAATGACGATGGATGAATGGTGTCTCAGGGTGACCACAGAAATGACAATGGATGAATGGTGTCTCAGGGTGACCACAGAAATGACGATGGATGAATGGTGTCTCAGGGTGACCACAGAAATGTCAAAGGATGTTCCCCCAAAATCAATACCAGACCTAAGGGTCATTTTTAATTTGTCACTGGGAGGAGAGCGCGGCGCACATTCCTCCCACTGACACCAATGATGGGGCACTATTCCCCCCACTGACACCAATGATGGGGCACTATTCCCCCCACTGACACCAATGATGGGGCACTATTCCTCCCACTGACACCAATGATGGGACACTATTCCTCCCCCCACTGACACCAATGATGGGGCACTATTCCTCCCACTGACACCAATGATGGGACACTATTCCTCCCACTGATACCAACGATGGGGCACTATTCCTTCCACTGACACCAATGATGGGGCACTATTCCTCCCACTGACACCAATGATGGGGCACTGTTCCTCACACTGACACCAATGATGGGGCACTGTTTCCTCCCACTGACACCAATGATGGGGCACTATTCCTCCCACTGACACCAATGATGGGGCACTATTCCTCCCACTGATACCAATGATGGGGCTCTATTCCTCCCACTGACACCAATGATGTGACACTATTCCTCCCACTGATACCGATGATGGGGCACTATTCCTCCCACTGACACCAATGATGGGGCACTATTCCCCCACTGACACCAATGATGGGGCACTATTCCCCCCACTGACACCAATGATGGGGCACTATTCCTCCCACTGACACCAATGATGGGACACTATTCCTCCCCCCACTGACACCAATGATGGGGCACTATTCCTCCCACTGACACCAATGATGGGACACTATTCCTCCCACTGATACCAACGATGGGGCACTATTCCTTCCACTGACACCAATGATGGGGCACTATTCCTCCCACTGACACCAATGATGGGGCACTGTTCCTCACACTGACACCAATGATGGGGCACTGTTCCTCCCACTGACACCAATGATGGGGCACTATTCCTCCCACTGACACCAATGATGGGGCACTATTCCTCCCACTGATACCAATGATGGGGCTCTATTCCTCCCACTGACACCAATGATGTGACACTATTCCTCCCACTGATACCAATGATGGGGCACTATTCCTCCCACTGACACCAATGATGGGGCACTGTTTCCTCCCACTGACACCAATGATGAGACACTATTCCTCCCACTGACACCAATGATGGGGCACTATTCCTCCCACTGACACCAATGATGGGGACACTATTCCTCCCACTGACACCAATGATGGGGCACCATTCCTCCCACTGACACCAATGATGGGGCACTATTCCTCCACTGATACCAATGATGGGCACTATTCCTCCCACTGATACCAATGATGGGGCACCATTCCTCCCACTGACACCAATGATGGGGCACTATTCCTCCCACTGACACCAATGATGGGACACTATTCCTCTCACTGACACCAATGATGGGGCACTATTCCTCCCACTGACACCAATGATGGGACACTATTCCTCCCACTGACACCAATGATGGGGACACTATTCCTCCCACTGACACCAATGATGGGGCACTATTCCTCCCACTGACACCAATGATGGGGCACTATTCCTCCCCACTGACACCAATGATGGGACACTATTCCTCTCACTGACACCAATGATGGGGCACTATTCCTCCCACTGACACCAATGATGGGGCACTATTCCCCCCACTGACACCAATGATGGGACACTATTCCTCCCACTGACACCAATGATGGGGCACTATTCCTCCCACTGACACCAATGATGGGGCACTATTTCCTCCTTCCACTGACTACAAGCACTATGTGATTTTTGTCCCACTGGCCATTCAGGCCCCCCTAAAGTCTGAAACACAGTACGTCGGCCCTTTGCTCAGAAAGTTTGGAAGTCCCTGATCTAAAGGAAAGCCCTCAATAGGACTTGCTGCTGGATGATGAACAGTCTGCATTGAAGGGCACAGCCATTGTGGAGCAGGAGCAGACATACTGAACGAGCGCAGAAATAGATATGAAATCCTCACCTGATCGACACGCCAGGTCCACATCTTTCTCAAATTCTGACTGCGGGGATAAAGAGAGATTTACAATGACTTTGGGGTCAGTTTACTAAAAGGTCACATGACTCATTTGCATAATGATTGCATGCATTAAAAAAATGTCACATGCGGTATGTTTTTAGATGCAGCTTGGGGGTCCACCCCCCAATCCATACCTTGCCCTCTGGGTCAGGTATTGATTTTTTAAGGAGAACCCCATTCCAAATTAAAAAAAAACAGCGTGGGGTCCCCATCAAATCCTTACTAGATCCTTAGGTCTGGTATAGATTTGGGGGGGACCCCATGCCATTTTTTTTTTAATTTTGGCATGGGGTTCCTCCCAAATCAATACCAGACCCAAGGGACTTTTTTTTTTTATTTTTTTTTGGTGTGGGGTTCCCCCAAAATCAATACCAGACCTAAGGGACCTTTTTTAAATTTTGGCGTGGGGTTCCCCCAAAATCAATACCAGATCCAAAGGGCCATTTTATTTTTTTTTTAATTTTGGCATGGGTTCCCCAAAATCAATACCAGACCTAAGGGACTTTTTTATTTTTATTTTGGCGTGGGGTTCCCTCAAAATCAATACCAGACCTAAGGGACATTTTTTTTATTTTTATTTTGGCGTGGGGTTCCCCCCAAATCAATACCAATACCAGACCTAAGGGACTTTTTTATTTTTATTTTGGCGTGGGGTTCCACCAAAATCAATACCAGACCTAAGGGACTTTTTTATTTTTATTTTGGCGTGGGGTTCCACCAAAATCAATACCAGACCTAAGGGACTTTTTTATTTTTATTTTGGCGTGGGGTTCCACCAAAATCAATACCACACCTAAGGGACTTTTTTTTTTTTTTTTTTTAATGTTTTAAAATTTTGAAGTTTTCCTTAAAATCCACCCCAGACCCGAGGGGCCCCATGCTGTTTTTTTTTTCAGAATTTTTAATTGTCGGCATGTTTTGTTTACATTCAGCTGTCAGCAGGAAACCCGCAGACAGCTGATGAGTCATCCTTTGTTAAAGATGAGGCGGCCCGTTTCCTTAACAACCAGCTACCATGCGATAAATTTCCAACAATTTTTGGGGGTTTTCATTTGTTTTGTTTGTTGCTTTTTTCAGTGCCGCACAACACAAAATTTTAAATATATTTTAAAAAATATTCTTCCCAAATATATTGACATACAGTTGAAATACTACAATATTGTCCATATTCAATATTATTAAATAAATAATATATATATATATATATTACACATATACTGTATGTTCAAATGTTTTTTTTATATATTACAAAATATATGAAAAATATTTTTAAAAATATATATTATTTTAAATATATTCTTCAGATTCTTTTGAACATATAAAAAAGTCATTTTAACATATATTTTTACATATATTTGTAAATGGATTCCAAAAATGTAGATTAAATGTATTTTTAAAGACATACAGTATATTTGAAAATGTATTTTTAAAAATATTTTTCATATATTTTGTAATAAAAAACTCATTTCAATATATATATATATATATATATATATATATATTTATATATTTACTGAAATATATTGATGTATATTTGAAATACATACATATATATACATATATATATATATATATATATATATATATACTGTATGTTGAAATTACTAAACATTTTATTTTGTATTTTAAATATATTTGTATTTTAAATATATTCTTCAGATTTTTTAAACATATAAAAAAGTCATTGTAAGATATATTTTTACATATATTTGTAAATGCATTCCAAAATTGTAGATTAAATGTATTTTTAAAGACATACAGTATATTTGAAAATGTATTTTTAAAAATATTTTTCATATATTTTGTAATAAAAACGCATTTCAATATATATATATATATATATATATATATATTTACTGAAATATATTGATGTATACTTGAAATACTACAATTTTGGCCATATTCAATGTATTTATAAAAAAAAAAATATATATATATATATACATATACACACACTGTATGTTGAAATGCATTTTTTTATTACAAAATATATGAATGATATTTTTAAAAATAATTTTCAAATATACTGTATGTCTTTAAAAATACATTTAATCTACATTTTTGGAACGCATTTACAAGTATATGTTAAAATTACTTTTTTATATGTTAAAAAAAAATCTGAAGAATATATTTAAAAAATATATATTTTTAAAAATATTTTTCATATATTTTGTAATATATAAAAAATGCATTTCAACATGCAGTGTGTGTATATATATATGTATTGAAATATATTTTTAAATATATTGAATATGGGCAAAATTGTAGTATTTTTCTTCCATGTGGGACCTCTATACAGTAATGACCGAGTGATCTTCAGATGAACGGCCCGAAGTAGAAATACAAAAATTGCTTCTGCCTTCTTAAGAGGTATACAGGAGAGCTGAAGGGGTTAATGACGGGTGCAATCGGGTGGACAGATTGGTCAGAAATGGGGACATTTTTGGATTCTCTTCCATGAATTATCTATCCCTCAGGTTGGTCCCATCTTGAATTTTGACTCTTGGAAACCTGAACTGATTCCCCCTCATCACATTGGAGGGCCATGTGATCTGTAGGCGATGGCAGATTGATTTTGGGGGATCGCTACTCTGCGAAATCTCCTCCTCGCCGTGCGACAACATTCCCGGTGTCAGTATTTGCTGTGTACAATATTCAGATGGAATACATTGTATCATACCGCGGCTTTCTTGTCTTTCAGCCCCACCATGGCGGTGCAGATGTACGGGTTATTGGCTTCCTCCAACTGGAAGGGTGCAAGGAAGAGAAAACAGAAGTCACATAGAAGTACAGTCATGGACAAGTATTGCGACCCGCGCAGCATGGATGTGATTGGCTGGTGTAGACACTCCAATTTCACGTTTAACCTGCATGTGTGTGTGTGTGTGTATATATATATATATACATACAGTGGTACCTCGGTTTATGAACGCCTCGGTTAACTTCATTTTTGGTCAACGAATGAAAATCCATTGAAAATAACGCCTCGGTTTACTAATTTTTTTTCCCGATACGAAGTAAGTTTCCCCAGGATGCATTGCGCCTTGAAATGCATTGTAAACCAATTAATCCATTCCGGAGGTCAGAAAAAAGTAAAAAAAAAGTCTTTTATCTGTTCAAAACTCTTTTTATAAAATGCACTTTTTGATTTTAAAGTGAACTTTATAAAGAGTTTTGAACAGATAAAAGACTTTTTCTTACTTTTTTCTGACCCCCGGGATGGATTAATTGGTTTTCAATGCATTTAGGAATTAATTTTTATTCATGTCCCTGTATAGTATTTATGCCTTTAAAGTGCACTTTATAGAGAATTTTTGAACAGATAAAAGACTTTTTTCTGACCTCCGGAACGGATTAATTGGTTTTCAATGCATTCCTATGGGAAACCGCAGTTCGGTTTACAAATTTTTCGCAATACGAAGCAAGTTTCCCCAGGATGCATTGCGCCTGGGAGGTTTATAGCGCCGTCCCCGTGCCTTTAAAGTGCACTTTATAAAGAGTTTTGAACAGATAAAATACTTTTTTTTTAACTTTTTTCTGACCTCCGGAACGGATTAATTGGTTTTCAGTGCATTCCAATGGGAAACCGCGTTTCGCTTTACAAATTTTTCGCAATACGAAACGCCCCATTAAATTCGTAATCCGAGGTGCACCTGTATATGTTGTATGACAATTTTTGCGTGACAAGGTGATACATTTGAAGGAAATCTGACCGCATCCTAAAAACAAATGAATTCATATTTGAGACCCTAAACCAGATTAGGAGTTGGGACATCAGTGTGACTTTCCGGATCCTGATCAGTAACACACCAGGAAAGCCAGGCAGTTGGCATTTTCAGAAGGAGTTGACATTCTCCCACTTCAGAAAAAAAAGCTGAATCCTCTCAGCTGTTTCTATATTGTTGACCACTAGAGGTCTCCAACCTTCTTCGCTGATGTACCCTCACCGACCTCTTTATTAGGTCCACCTGTTCAATGGCTTGGGAATACAAATTGCTAATCAGCCAATCACATGGCAGCAACTCAATACATTTAGGCATCTAGACTTGGAGAAGACAACTTGATGAAGTTTAAACCGAGCATCAAAATAGGGAAGAAAGGGGATTTAAGGGACTTTGAACGTGGCATGGTTGTTGTTGTCAGATGGGCTGGACTGAGGATTTAAAAAACTGCTGATCTCCTGGGATTTTCCTGCACAACAATCTCTAGGGTTTACAGAGAATGGTCCGAAAAAGAGTGAGTGGCAGTTGTGTGGAGGAAAATGCCTTGTTGGTGTCAGAGATCAGAGGAGAATAGGCAGACTGGTTCCAGATGATAGAAAGGCAACAGTAACTCCAATAACCCCTCGTTACAACCAAGGTATGCAGAATACCATCTCTGAATGCACAACACGTCCAAGCTTGAAGCAGATGGGCTACAGCAGCAGAAGACCACAACGGGTGCTACTCCTGTCAGCTAAGAACAGGAAACGGAGGCTGCAATTTGCACAGGCTCGCCAGAATTGGACGATAGAAGATTGGAAAAACGTTGCCTGGTCTGATGAGTCTGGATTTCAGCTGCGACATTCAGATGGTAGGGTCAGAATTTGGCATAAACAACATGAAAGCATGGATCCATCCTGCCTTGTATCAATGGTTCAGGCTGGTGGTGGTGGTGTCATGGTGTGGTGGATCCATCCTGCCTTGTATCAATGGTTCAGGCTGGTGGTGGTGGTGTCATGGTGTGGTGGATCCATCCTGCCTTGTATCAATGGTTCAGGCTGGGGTGGTGGTGTCATGGTGTGGTGGATCCATCCTGCCTTGTATCAATGGTTCAGGCTGGTGGTGGTGGTGTCATGGTGTGGGGGATCCATCCTGCCTTGTATCAATGCTTCAGGCTGGTGGTGGTGGTGTCATGGTGTGGTGGATCCATCCTGCCTTGTATCAATGGTTCGGGCTGGTGGTGGTGTCACAGTGTGGTGGATCCATCCTGCCTTGTATCAATGGTTCAGGCTGGTGGTGGTGGTGTCATGGTGTGTTGGATCCATCCTGCCTTGTATCAATGGTTCAGGCTGGTGGTGGTGTCATGGTGTGTTGGACCCATCCTGCCTTGTATCAGCAGTTCATGGATGTGCAGCCAACAAATCTGCAGCAACTGCGTGATGCTATCATGTCAATATGGAGCAAAATCTCTGAGGAACGTTTCCACCTCCTTGTTGAATCTCTGCCATGAAGAATGAAGGCAGCTCTGAGGGCAACAAGAAGTCCAACCCGGGACTAGCAAGGTGGACCTAATCAAGTGGCCGGTGAGTGTATAAGACAATGGATTGTCTATTGTATAATGTTCTTAGTATTTGTAGCGCCAACAGAAGGTGCAGCGCTGCACAGAGTGCCTACAACCAATCACAGCAGTCCATGTTCTCTGAGTGAACATCATTTATTTTAATACACTGGCAGAAATGGGGCCACTGTGGCACAGAGGGGTAGGATGCGGGTTGGGATGAATATCAGAATCATCGAGAACCAGACAAATGTATTAAAAATAGATTTCTGGTAAAATAAAAACAAAAAAAAAACCAAACAATATGGCTGAATAACGCCACTAATAAGTACCATTAACTGAGCGTGTCCATTCTGGAAGGAGCCGCCCGAGTCGCCGTTGCCTTCTTCTTGGCGATCTACAACTCGGCACTTCACAGCATCCTGCACCTAGCGGGGAACATGAGACAGCAAAGATCATCATTCTTGTGGCTTTTCTGGAAGAATTGTCCCCAACACATCGTAATACAGGAGAGCCACCCCCAGGAAAAGGAGAAATCTGTTAGACGGCCATTTATAGAGGCTGGAATTGTAATTTTTGTTTTTACTTTTTTTCTCATTCTGACCTATTTTACCAACTTATTTCATTGTTTATGTAACATCCATCCTCTCCTCTTTTTTCCTGTCCTTGCTCTTCTTTCTTTCTTCTTGACTTCCTTCCTCCCTTCCATGTTCCTAAAGTCGCACTTCCTTCATTCCTTCATTCTTTCCTTCCAACTCCCTCCTTTCTTCTTCCTCTCTTGATTCCTTCATCCTCCCATCCTTTCCCTCATTTCCTTGGCTCTTCTTCCTTCCTTCATCACCCCTTCCTTTCTCTCCTGTCCTTCCTTCTTCTTCCTTCTTTGTTTTTTTTCCCCTCCCTTCTTTTCCCTGCTCCTTTCCCTTCTTCCTATCTTCTTGCCTTTCTTCCTCCCTTCTGTTTCCATCCAGTATTACTTCTTTCTTTTCTTCCTTTATTCTCCTTCCTATCATTCCTTTCTTCTTCCTTCTTTTCTTCCTTCATCTTTCCTGCCTTTTCCTTCTTATCTTCATTTTTCCTCCCTTCCATTCCACACCCTTCTCTTTTCCTTTCCACTCTTTCCTTCCTTCCTTCTGTTTTCTTCCAGTCTTACTTCCCTCATCCTCCCGTCCCTTCCCCTCCCCTTTTCTCTTTTCCTTTCCCTTCTTTCTTTCATTCCCTTCCCTTCTTTCTTCATTCTTTCCATTCCTCCTCCCTTCCTTTCCTTTCTTTCCATCATCTTCTTGACTTTCCTTTCCTCTTCCATCATTCTCCCTTCCCTTTTTTTCTTCCTTGTTTTTGTTTTTTCCTCCCATCCCTTCCCGTCCCCTTTCCTCTTTTCCTTTCCCTTCTTTATCTCCTTGCTTCTGTCTTTCATTCCCTTCTTTCTCCTCCTTTCCTTTCTTTCCATCATTTTCCTGACTTTCCTTTCCTCTCCCATATGTTCCCCCTGTATTCCTCTTATCAAAATGTGTGGTAGCCCCCTTCCCTTGACCCTACAGCCTGCTTGTATCCCTGTTACTCTTAAGGCAATAAGTTGTAGCCTCCTTCCCCTGACCCTATGCCCCGTCTGTACCCCCCGTGTTCCTCTTAAGGGAGTAAATTGTAGCCCTCTTCCTCTGACCCTATGACCCATCTGTACCCCCTGTGTTCCTCTTAAGGGAGTAAATTGTAGCCCTCTTCCTCTGACCCTATGACCCATCTGTACCCAGTGTTCCTCTAAAGGAAATAAGTTGTAGCCCCCTTCCCCTGATCATATGCCCTGTCTGTACCCCTGTGTTCCTCTTATCGGAATATGTGGTAGCCCCCTTCCCCTGACCCTATGACCCATGTGTACCCCTGTGTTCCTCTTATAGGAATATGTGGTAGCCCCCTTCCCCTGACCCTATGACCCATGTGTACCCCTGTGTTCCTCTTATAGGAATATGTGGTAGCCCCCTTCCCCTGACCCTATGACCCATCTGTACCCCTGTGTTCCTCTTATCGGAATATGTGGTAGCCCCCTTCCCCTGACCCTATGGCCCGTCTGTACCCCTGTGTTCCTCTTATAGGAATATGTGGTAGCCCCCTTCCCCTGACCTATGACCCATGTGTACCCCTGTGTTCCTCTTATAGGAATATGTGGTAGCCCCCTTCCCCTGACCCTATGACCCATGTGTACCCCTGTGTTCCTCTTATAGGAATATGTGGTAGCCCCCTTCCTCTGACCCTATGGCCCGTCTGTACCCCTGTGATCCTCTTATCGGAATATGTGGTAGCCCCCTTCCCCTGACCCTATGACCCATCTACTGTACCATGTGTTCCTCTTGCAGCCAGTTTTGCCATGCATTTTGCTGTATTTTCCTGTATATATATATATACTATAAGGACCCTTCAAAACAAGGACATGCTTATGGCAATAGCACACCATGTGACTACAATGGGCCCAAAGCTTGCGGATTAGGTAGGTTCCAGTAATATGTGGCAAATTCATGCTGCATTTTTTTTTGCATTGATCTTCCATCTACTGAAATCTTTTAAAAGTTTAAAGTGCGCTGCATGTGATCTATGGTGATCCCCATCCAATAAAAACGTTTTCAGAAAACGCTGTTACCTCTCGCCGCAGGATGCAGTGCACCATAACGATGACGAACCCTTCCAACGAATCAAAGACAGCAAAAAGTATCTGAAACAGGGCCGAGCGGCGGTCTGTGATGGCGAGGACGGCGGACATCCATGTCAATGCCAGGAGCGGCAGCACCACGCAGGAACTCCACAGTGACGCCCTGGAAATGGAATACAAAGTGATGCGTGAGGCCCGGTGATCACTAACACGACTCCAATAAATACATCCGATTCCAACAGAATATCAGATCATCCTCTCTAGAAAACCCCAAATCCTGACAGGATCACATGACTCAATGAAATTCCGGGTGACAGATCTGACCTATCACCTGATGTATAGAAAAGGCCAAATACGTATTATAATGGAAGGCAAAAAGATCAAAAGGGACTAGAGAGCAGGAAATGGCTACAACCTTCAGATACATCACCGTAACAAACTATGTGCCATACTTCAACAATTGGTTCCATGTTGATCAGCCAGGTCCTAGCACTACATAGCTGGAAGAACTAAAAGAAGATCGTACAATCAGACTGCAATGTGTATGGTCAGCTTTACTGAATCCGTGTTGCGTGAGCTAATGGGCATAGCAGGGGGCGTACTTAGGGCTCATTCACACTTGGGGTGCTCTCTGAAGAGTGACGGAGGTGTATCACCTCCTTGTCTTTTGTTTGAACCCCTTGACCCCGAATTAGAGCTCCTCAACTGCTGCCACTTGAATGGGTTGGGTTTGGTGGGCACTATACCTGCAGAAAGTGACAGTGGGTGTCTTTCCTGCCCCAAACGTGAAAGAGAGCATCAGGGCCCCCCGCGTGTGTACATCCCCGGCCAATGCCTCTGCAGCTAAAGGGGGTAGCGGTTGGACATCAATCAAAGCGCAACTCAGTGGCAATCTTTTATCATGCCCCCCCCCCCCCAACCACTTAGGTGGGTTTACAAGCAGAAAGGATGAGGGTGGACATTTCATGCTGGCAGAGCCCTTAGGTTGTAGGTTGGTTGGCATTGGTACTGCACCAGGGATGGACTGACAGCTCATGGGGCCCCTGGGCAATAGGGGATCATGGGGCCCCTGTGTCCTCGCCCAAGCTCAAACCACACCCAAAAAAGCCTATGAAAGGTACCAGGGGCATCTCATGGGGCCCCCTACTGACCCAGGGCCCTCGGGCAGTGCCTGAGTGCTCGAATGGTCAGTCCGCCCCTGTACTGCACTATTTTAAAGTGAACTTTAACTTAAAACTGAAAGTTCTGCCCATCCTCCTCTTTTCTCCAAAATTTGTGGGGGTTTTTTTGGGGGGGGGGGGGCAGCTAAGTTTTTTTTGACAGGTACCCACTCCTATTTCCACAATTCTCACCCAGCCAAAATGTATGTAAGGTTGGCCTGCCACTCTCAACCCACAACCCCCACATCACATGTCTCGAGAGGCTGCAGGACCAGCCTAAAGTGCTGCTCAATCTTGTGCATGTGTAGTGGGGTGGGCTCCCAAATTCAAGATGGCGGCACCAGGGTCATGCAGCAGTGAGAAGAACCGGTTTTGGAAAGATGGACTCCAGGGGCTGAGAAGTTCCTTGTTTTTTTTTGTGTCGCCCAGGACAGCACAAAACCTAAATACACCACTGGGGAGGGGTCAGCTGGTCCCTATGAAGGAATTGTGTCGCCTGTGTTAGTTATTTGTCTGCAGATAGAAGTGTATTTTCTGCTGTGTTCATTGCCCTACTTAAGGTTGCCCAACAGAAATGGTGCTACCTGATAGGTAAGAGTTACCACTGCTGGACAGGTATTTCCGGGCTTTTCTAAGAAGTCCCGCCCTCTTCTGGACAAAACATATAAAAAGGGAAACTGTATCTAGGTCAGGGGTCCCCTGGTATACTCTCAGGATGAGAAGGGGAAGTGCTGCTGAAGATGTAATTGCCACTTTACCCCCCCCCCCCCCCCTTTGTGGGAGTCCAGTTGGGGTTCCATGGGAAATTATGCTGCTAAATAGACTAATGGACTAAAAGACTCTCTCACCTAATTAAGGTATGACCACCTTATGGAGCAACAGGGAGCACCAGGGGTGCAAAAAAAGGGCTCTTAGAGAACCCTGTACAGGAATGTGTATGGAAGACATCTGTGAGAAATATTATTATTATCTGTTATGTTCAGTAAAAGAACTTTGTTGTTCCTCAAACTGCCTGATGCATGCATGGCATATCCAAAGGGCTTGACAAAGGGATGGAGAGGAGCTGGTGAAGATACAGTTCAAAGGTCTAACAAGCTCAGATGCTATCTGGAGGAGGCCATGGTCTGAATCAACTGTGGCTGGAGGATTATAACTTTTTTTTTTTAATGGTTGAACTGGATAGACTTTTGTCTTTTTTCAGCCAGACTAACTATGTAACTCTGTTTCCATTGCTAATGACTACAGTACTAGCCAAATGCATAAGCAGCCAGCCAGTCGGGAAGCGTTGACTTGGCATGGGTGATGGAAGGCCCTGTTAGTGAAGAGACTTGTTCTCTAGTGACCGGTTCCCCACATACTGGGACTGACATTGCAACACAGGGGCCCTTGGGACCTAGACAGGAGGTCACAGAGGAAGTAATGAGGCCTCGGGAGAAGAATAGACATGGGATTTGTACAGGAGGGATTCCTAGTATTCAAGTGAAAAAAAACGGATTGATGTCACTGGGAGTGAGGCTACTGGGTTGGTGGGGTCCGGTAAAAGCTCAATGGTCCCGGCTCAGAAATGCTGCACAACGTAAGTGAGATAAATATTCTACAGCGTAATGAGGAACTATGTCTGTAGGAACTATGTGAAGGGTTACAGAAGTTGGCAACAGATTATAGAGCGTTAAATGTATTCTCTCTAAGAAGCCTCGCTTTTAAGTTGGAGTGCTGCCTCAACTCTGCATCAGTGGGAAAATCAGCCCACCCCTGGGGGCAATAGCGAGGTTTGGATTTTAAAGTTGCCATGGGAGGGTCCTACAGACAACTCCAACTGGAACAGCATAAGTGGCTTAGTGTAGGTGCCAGCACCTGGGGCCCTCCCACCGTTCCGGGTCCTGTACTAGGACACAGTAAGCCCCACCCACACAAGTCCACAGGATCAGTTACCCCTGGTGCAAAAGGTTCTGGCACTTGGCTCCACAAATTCGCCTGGCAGGGGCACGCTAGGGTTGGGCACCCAGGACATCTGCCCTGTAACAATAATACACATTGGTGCCAAAGGAGGCTAAACTCCTGTTCTGATATCATGTAGGAAAGTGGGAGGGCCCCAGGTGCTGGCAACCTACACCAAGCCACTTGTGCTGTTCCAGTTGGAGTTGTCAGTAGGACCGCCCCATGGCAAGTTCAAAATCCAAACCTAAAACTGCACAGTAATTGGCTGCAGCATCTGAGCGAATGAGGACTAAACAGGTCTGGATGCTTTTGTTGAGGTCTATGTCATTGCCTCCTGACCAAAACTTCAATTAACTGGGTGCTGTGGGTGATCCCATCACTACCAGACAGCAACTACATCCCTAACCAAATCTACATGGGGAGAAAAAAAAATGGCGCTGATCTGCACCTTACACACCAATCCATCAGTATGAAGGAAAAGATTTCGGGCTCTTCACACTCATGTGTCCCGTAACGTACTCAATGTAATAAACATTTTTTTTTTTTGTTTTGAGGCGCTTTGGTTAAAGAAAACTTCTTGTGAAAAATGATGAATAAACCTTGGCACCAATGAAAGTCAGAAGTTACCCAGGCCTGTGCCACCAAACACTTCCAGGAATGTCCATCTTCTGAGACCCCCACAGCTCTCGCTGGTTCATCCCACAACCTCCATCTCACAAATGTGTCCTACAGGGATGTGAGATCAGAAGGAGGAAGCAGTAAGAGCTGCAGAGGACAACAGAGGTCCACACTCCCGGAAACGTTGGACTTCATGGGACATGAACTTATGACTGGATTGGTAATCTGAAGCATTTGCACTGGGAAAGTTGACTATTGACGGAGGTTGTAATTAGAGTTTTTTCATGACAGAGCCAATTTAAACTAGCCTGTTCATTTCGAATGGGCTGTCAATGCACCTCAACAAAGGAACACCCCAACCTACACCATATCTGACAATACAAAAACGCAGGGTATGTGCACTACAGTTCACTTTTGCTCAGGTGCGTTGGCAGCTTCTGTATATGTGCGTTGGGGTTACATTCTAAATTAATAGCATCACAATGCAACACGTGTTTCACTTCACTTTACTGCAGAGCGTAGGAGTGAAGCCAACCTAAGAGACGGTGTCAATGGGCTTTTATTTGCTTCATGCAGGTCTTGCATTCCCATACAAATCTATGAGAATGCTGCTTGAAGCAGTTCAACTGAGAGATCAAACGAGATCAACTACAGCTCAGGAGGAGGTCAAATGAAGGTCAGAAGTAAACTGCAGGTCAAATAAAGGTCATAAAGAGGTCATATTTAGATCAGAAGGTCACATGCAGGTCAGAGGGAGGTCAACTTCAGGTCAAATAAAGGTCAAAAGGAGGTCAACTGTGGGTGAAATGGAGGTCAGAAGAAGTAAACTGTAGGGTTAGAATGGTGTCAAATGCAAGTCAGAGGGAGGTCAACTGTAGGGCAAGCAAAAGTCAGGAGGTTAACTGTAGGTCAGAGGGAACTGTGGGTCAATTGAAAGTCAAAAGGAAGTAAATTGCAGACCAGATAAGGGTTTAAGGGTGGTAAGACCCAGCATCCAGTCTAGATGGTGGTAAGACCCAGCATCCAGCCTAGAGGGTAATATGACCCAGCATCCAGTCTAGTAGAATAAGACCCAGCATCCCAGACCCAGCATCCAGCTTAGAGGGTAATATGACCCAGCATCCAGCTTAGAGGGTAATATGACCCAGCATCCAGCTTAGAGGGTAATATGACCCACCATCCGGTCCAGAGGGCAATAGGACCCAGTTTCTAGTCTAGAGGCTGGTAAGAACCAATATCCAGTCTACAGGGTGGTAAGAACCAGCATCCAGTCTAGAGGTGGTAAGAACCAGCATCCAGTCCAGAGGGTGGTGAGATCTAGCATCCAGCATAGAGGGTGGTAAGACCTAGAATCCAGTCTAGAGGGTGGTAAGATCCAGCAACCAGTCTAGAGGG